TTATTTGTTGGAAAGTCAGATATACAGAGAAGAGGAGAGACAGAGAGGAAGATCTTCCGTCCGATGATTCACTCCCCAAGTGAGTGCAATAGCCGATGCTATGCCGAGCTGAAGCCAGGATCCAGGAACTTCTTCTGGGTCTCCCACACAGATGCAGGGTCCCAAGGCTTTGGGGCCATCCTTGACTGCCTTCCCAGGCCACAGGCAGGGAGCTGGATGGGAAGTGGAGCTGCCGGGATTAGAACCGGTGCCCATATGGGATCCTTGGTACTTTCAGGGCGAGGGCTTTAGCCGCTAGGCCACGCCACCAGGCCCCATCAGAAGTTTTTAAGCTCATACTGGCATGAAAAATTAATCAACTAAGTTAACCTTGGTGTGGGCACTAGAGACTATCCAGTGGACTAGGCTGACATTGGTGTGATGATGGGCAACTGTCAGGAAATCCTCTCATGGCTGGGCATCCTTCTCTTCTAGAGTTACTTGTGGAATCTAATCAGATGCATGGGATTACCCAAGTTCTGAATCTGTCAGCTGGTTGATAAAGGAGGTGATTAAGCACACAACAGACCTGTGTTTTGCCCTGGGCTGTCAGGGGAAACTTGGCCATCTGCAAGCCAACTGGCAGGCACCAATGGAAAAACAATAAGACTGTTAATTCTGTTGCTGTGACTGTGTAATCTCTGAATCTCACAGAGGCCAATGTCAAACAGGATGTGTCATTCAGAGGCTCTGTGCCAAACAAAAGGTCCCTTCCTGGAATGAAATATTTTTCTGTTTTAGAGATGTATTTATTTTAATTGGAAAGCAGATCAGATTTACAGAGAAAAGAAGAGATAAAAAGATCTTTTATGCATCCACTGGTTCACTCCCCAAATGGCTGCAGTTGATGGAGCTGAGCTGATCCAAAGCCAGGAGCCAGGAACTTTCTCCAGGTTTCCCACACAAGTGCAGGGTCCCAAGGCTTTGGGTCATCCTCTGCTGCTTTCCTAGGGCATAAACAGAGAATTGGATGGGAAATGGAGCAGCTGGAACACGACTGGCACCCATATGGGATCCTGGCACTTGCAAGATGAGGATTTTAGCTATTGAGCCATCACATCAGGTCTAACATATTTTTTTGAGATATATATGTCACATTCAAAGGGACTCCGCTAGAAGTAAAGGTCATGGCAAGGGTCCAGTTATGGTGCATGAGAATATTTTAGGGGGTCCAGCTTGACAGTTGCCATTTTCTATTGCCTGTGCTGCCATAACAAAATGCTGACCCTGAAATTTTTTTTCTAAAGATTTATTTTTATTGCAAAGTCAGATATACAGAGAGGAAGATTTTCCATCCCCTGATTTACTCCCCAAGTAACCGCAATGGCCGGTGCTGAGCCGATCCGAAGCCAGGAACCAGGAACTTCTTCCAGGTCTCCCACATGGGTATAGGGTCCCAAAGCTTTGGGCCGTCCTCAACTGCTTTCCCAGGTCACAAGTAGAGAGCTAGATGAGAAAGCAGGGCTGCTAAGATTAGAATCGGTGCCTATATGGGATCCCAGCACATTCAAGGCAAGGACTTTAGCTGCTAGGCCACCATGCCAGGCCCTTAAATTTTTCTTTTTTTTTAGAAAGACTGAGAAGCACTCACCTCCACATTTTTGTTTTGCCTGTCCTTAAATCCTGGAAGACTTCTCCAGTTCCTGGCTGGTGTGCCACACAAATGATTTTTTAGTTTTTTTGATGCATAGAAGAAAACGTATGTGTTATTATTTTAAATTTTTTTTTGGCGTGTGCAAGCAAATACAACCTGAAAGAAAAGCCACCCATTCTTTTTTTAATATTTAATAACTTTATTTGTAAATCAATAAATAATAGCCATATTAAACTTAAAAATTTAGACAATCAAGCCTAAATTGTCAATGCAGAAGCACAAAGAGTGGGTCATGTGTGAACTGAGTGTTGTGTGAAAAGTAACTGCTGCATATCCTAATGTACACCATCCATTGCTCATTTGTACCACCAATTCTCAGAATGGCTATACAGAGCTCTGAATCACAAATCACAAATTAATAAATCTTTGCTGTGTTTGAGGACCAACATACTCCAGCCACTTGCTTCCTAATTTAGACATACACATGTAAGACCTGTGTTCATAAAAAAGCCACCTATTCTTTTATCTGGGTATACACAGTGTATTTAAGTAGTACCCTCCTTGTACCTGTCTCCACTTACATGTGTGCAGGAGAAGGTGGTAAATATGGGATGATATGGACAGAGTGAGTGTGCAATGATTTCATTCCCTAATATTAAAAATGGCACTGTGGTTAGAATATAGAAATTGATAAAAGATGCCAGGGTTAATAGAAAACATGATGGGGCCAGGCACAGTAGTGTATCGGTTAAGGGCCTCGCCTTGAACGCGTGCTGGGATCTCATATGGGCACCAGTTCTAATCCCAGCAGCCCTGCTTCCCATCCAGCTCCCTGCTTGTGGCCTGGGAAAGCAGTGGAGGACGATTGAAAGCCTTGAGACCCTGAACCCGTGTGGGATACCTGAAAGAAGCTCCTGGCTCCTGGCTTCAGATTGGCTCAGTTCCAGCTGTTGCTGCCATTTGGGGAGTGAACCATTGGACAGAAGATTTTCCTCTCTGTTTTTCCTCCTCTCTGTATATCTATCTGCCTTTCCAATAAAAATAAATAAATCTTTAAAAAAATAGAAAACACAATGGTATTTATGATAAAGTAAACAGCTATAATTCCTCCATTTAAAGACAAAATGCCCCAGTTCATTAGAAAAGCAAACTTAGGGCCTGGTGCGATGGCTCTGTGGCTAGATTCTTGCCTTGCAAGCAACAGAACCGCATATGGGCACTGGTTTATTCCCCAGCTACTCCACTTCCTTTCCAGCTCCCTAACCCGAGGATGATCCAAAGCCTTGGGACCCCGCACCCACGTTGGAGACCTGGAAGAAGCTCCTGGCTTTGGATCAGCCAGTTGTGTACTCTTGGGGAGTGAATCAGCAGATGGAGGCTCTTTGTCCTCTCTGTGTAAATCTGCATTTTCAATAAAAATAACAATGTTAAAAAAAGGAAGAAAAGCAAAGTCATTGTAGTATGATGGTATAAAATCAGGATAAGAATGTTTTTTTTATCAAGGCAACAAGGAGCCATTTTGTATTGTTTAAGGTATCTCTCATATTGTTAAAAGTGACATTTTGTTTGGAAACTTTATATTTTTAATTTTTAAAAAGATTTTTTTTTTTTTAATTTGAACATCAGTAATACAGAGAGGAGGAGAGACAAAGCTCTCTACTCCCCAGGTGGCTGCAACAGCCACCCTGAGCAGTTCTGAAGCAGCTCCAGGTCTCTCAGGCAGGTGCAGGGTCCCAAGACTCACAAGTTCACAAGCAGGGAGCTGGATGGGAAATGGGGCCGCAGGGAGTTGGAGGGGAAGTGAGGCCCATATGGGTCCACAGATTAAGGTTCTGTTTCACTTCCCTCTGACAAAGCACAACCAATGTTGCACCACTCTGATTCTGGAATCTAGGCACTTAACAACCTTCTAAGCCAGGACCTGTCTGGATCTCCTACAAGGGTGGCAGGGACCCAAATACTTGAGCTGCCATCACCTGCTGCCCATGAGTAGGCCTCTGGAACTGGAAGCAGAGGCAGACTCAATCCCAGGTGCTCTGAGATGCAGGTGTCCATGGGAGGCTTGGCCCCACTGCATCAGAGCTCACTGCGGGGCTTGGCGTTTCATGGTCTGGCTTTATGGGTGCAGACAGTCCCTATACACAGTGTTGACCTTGTATGGTGAATTAGCTCTGCATCCATGTCTTTCCTCTTGTGGTTTTGGAGATGAAATGAGTTCTTGCCCAGGCACAGAGCTAGAGTTCCTGTCTGATGAAAGGTTAATATTTAACTTGCTATTTGCTACCTGCCTTCTCATTTCCTGGTATGTTATTTTTCTTGTCCATTTTGTAGAAAATCTGTCAGTCTTCTAATTTGTTTAACTTTATGTAAAAACTGCTCTGAACATTGTGTTTTACAACGAGGAAGGCCATTCCCGAAAAGGTATGCTGTACAATAAAGTTATAAGGTTCTAAAGTGTTAAGAATACAGCTAAACACAGAAGAATCGGTCAGAAAACAAGAGCAGATATTTCCACACACTGTCTGCTATTCTACAAGAGCAGGAGGCAACAGGCATTTAGAAAACCTAACAGAAAACGGACAAACAAGTTGCTCTATGAGATTGTTAATTTAAATTATGAGTAGCCATGGGATTGAACTCTGCTCTTACATTAGGCCCAGAAACCAACCCAAATGAAGACACTCCCTCCACAATTCCACCTGGCCTGCTTACTTCTGAGACCTGCAAAGGCAGATTGGTAACTTGAATAAGCCAAGAGAATTTAAGGAATGTGACTTGGAAATACTCAGTCCATGTTTGGTTTCTTGTTTCTGCTCTCTTGGGCTTTTTCTTGCTTCTTGGAGTTTTATTTTTTAAAAATTCTTTCCTTTCCTCTTCTTTTTTCAATTTTGTGAGCTGGATAGTTGTGTGATTCCTGAATTGATATTAAAGACAGTTAAAGCCTTAAAACGCAAGTTTGTTGCTTGTTCTCTGACACTATTTTTATGGAATTTTGTACTCCCTTGGGCAGAGCAGCCCAGGGTGGTTAAGCCTTGGCCACCTGTGTCTCTCCAGGCCTGGTCACCTGTTTAGCTCACCTTGAGAGTTGCTGTGTAAAATATACATGGAATTTAGGGTTGGCCACAAGAAAGGATGTAAGGTGGATTTTAAATTTTCTTAGGGACTGCATGTTGAACCGTTAGATGTCCGGAGGGCGCGGTGGCAGGTGTGTGTCTTTAAGCAGCAGTGCACTGGGATCCCCACGTGAGCCCAGATGCGCGAGGCTGCAGGGAAGACGCGGAGTGGAACGGCAGTGCTGGGGCTGCTCTCCGCCCCTTCCGCGCTCCCAGCGCGTGCGCACTCCCACACGGCGCGCCTCTCTTTTAGGATACTTGTGCCAGGAGACGGATTTGGGGATCCTAGGACCCCGCGCTCAGGGGCGGCTGGGGTAAACCCGCCATGCGTTGGGGGCTCCGCTGTCACGGGCCCGGGGCGACGACGGCCATGGCTGCAGCCCGGCGTTTGTGGGGGCCGCCCCGCTTTCCCCGCAGCCCCGGGTGGCGAGGGACGTCCCGGAGGCTTGTGGTGCGCTCAGTGTCCGGGGCCAACAGCCAGCAGACGAACCCCCAGAACGGCAGGTACCGGGACACGGTGCTGCTGCCGCAGACCAGCTTCCCCATGAAGCTGCTGGGTCGCCGGCAGCCGGACACAGAGCTGGAGATCCAGCAGGTACGGGCCCCGCCTGCAGCGCGGGGCCAGGGCGGGGAGGCCGGACGCAGCCGGCAGGCCGAGTGGGCGGGCGGTGCACGGGGCCACGCCTGGGCCACCCGCGGCCGGAGGGTGCCCAGTCGGGTGGCCTCAGTCCGCGCGCTCTAGTGTTTTCGGCGGAAAACCGGAGGGAGGAAATCTCTAGGTGAAAAAGTCTTGCAATTGGGGCAGGCTCTCAGCGCCATGGCTCGAATGCTCGTGCCAGCTCTGTGCAGAGCAGGCTTGAGATCCTCTTCCCCCAAGACTTCTAAGAAGTTAATTCGGGTGTACGCATGGAAACAAACCTTCAGGGCTGAGAGCTGGGAGCCCTGCTGTGTTAGAGCGCTTGGGCCCTGGTTGGAATTGACTTCCTTTCTAAGGTGAAGTTGCAGTAACCTCGCCTGGTTTCTTTCTATAAGCTGAGATTTTCTTGGTTGATTTCGGTAATTCCAGCGTCTTAAAAAAAATCCTCTTCATTTTAGTGACCGTTTCAGATCACACGTCAGTGTTGTCCATCTAATTTTTTAAGATGTTTGGCGCAGCAACCTTCTGTATGCTAGGTTTCACACGTTTTCTTATTTAGTCTTTACATCAGCTGCGGTCGTGATTATTGGCAGGTGAGGAAACAGGCGTGTAGCTGCCAGGTGCTTTGAGGTCCCGCAGCAAGTGAGGGCAGAAGAGTGGGACTGCGAGATATGTTCCAGTTTTAGGGAGGGGCAGGAAGTGAGGTCAGGCCCTTCAGTGCCCCCCTACTAGGGTGGGGAGACTACCCAAGAACTCGGTGGGACTGAAGGTTCAGGCTTGTCTTAAAGACTCACTGATGTATTTGAAAGGCAGAGTTATACAGAGAGAGGGGATGAGACATCTTCCTTTCGCGGCTTGACTCCTGATGTGGTCACAAAGGTTGAGGCTGGGCCAGGCTGAAACCTGTGGGCCTCCCACAGCAAGGGTCAGGTGCCCAAGCCCTCTGCCTCTTTCTCAGGTGTGTTAGCAGGGAACTGCTTTGGAAGGGGTGCAGCTGGGACTGGAACCATGGCTCATGAAAGACCAGTGTCACGGATGGGGACTTCGCGTGCTGCGTCACCAGGCCAGCCCAGTAGTGGGCCTTTGTAGGGTCCTGTACGCCATGTGGGAAGTTGACTTTCATCTGGAAATCATGGCAAGCAAAGGTTCAAGTGTCCCCAGCTGAGCATTTCAGCACCCTTGCCTTTTCTAATTTCAGAGTTAAGTAAATGGGAATGTTAAGAATGTGGCTAAATCCTTTTCTTGCAAGCACTGGAATCCTAGATAGGGACCGGTTTGTGGGTTTGTGCCCTGGCTGCTCTACTTTCCATCCAGCTCCCTGTCTTGTGGTTTGGGAAAGCGGCGGAAGATGGGCCAAAGCCTTGAGGCGCTGCACCTGTGTGGGAGACATGGGAGAGGTGTCTGGCTTTGGACTGTCTCAGCTCTGGTCAGTGCGGCCAGTTGGGGAGTGAACTAGAGCGTGGAACATCTTTCTCTTTTCTTCTCTGTGAATCTGCTTTCCAATAAATTAAAAAAAAATTAGCAAGTGTTGGTTGTTATTTCTGCTCTGATTCAGGAATAATGTACTTATGTGATGTTCACTATTGTTCTTTTTTCACAGAAATGTGGATTTTCAGAGCTTTATTCATGGCAAAGAGAAAGAAAAGCAAAGACAGAATTTTGTCTCCATGATGGACCTCCTTATGCAAATGGTGACCCACACGTGGGACATGCTTTGAATAAGGTAATTGTAGTTTAAGGTTATGACACTTGAAAGAATGTGTTGCTTTAAGTACTCTTTACAAAACAACAAATTTACATGCCAATTATGTGTTTACATTGGTATCTAAAACTCAAACATTTAAACTGCAAAATAGCAAACAGTTTGAGTCCTGCGAGAAAAATTGCTGCTTTGGTCTTCCTATGCTTACTCTCTGGTCAGTGTTTAGTATGTAATCATTGAGCACCTGTTATGGGCCAGATGCTGTAGACTGTAGGAATGGCAGTGAACAAAATGGAGACTTGTTCTGTTCTTACGCTCTGGCGTGTGATGAGTGGTGGAGGGAAGTGCAAGCAGAGAGGAGGGATGAGGACGGGAATGGGGAAACTAACTTTAGTTTGTCTAGGATGCCTTCCTCACTGAAAAGGTGACATTTATGTGATATCCCCAAAGTGGTGAGTGTGGGGACGAGAGCTGAAGCCGTAACGGTGATGTGGAGTGGTAGGATTCTGGGGGTGGCCTCAAGGTAGAAGGGACAGAAGTTGCTGCTGGACTGCGTGGACAGAGAAGCATCAAGGATGCTTGCAAGGAGTTTTGTTTTGACCACTTGGAAGGACCCAGTAGCTGTCCCCGAGGTGGAGAACAGTGTGGGAGGATCGGTTTTGAGTCATAAGCTCAGAGCACACTGACTTTGAAATGAGATGAGACACTCGGTAATGATGGCGCGCGGGCAGGGGAGTAGTCTGTAGATTGGAAGGCTGCTGGCATTGACTTGTAGAGTCCAGGCCTGGTTTGGTTTCTCAGGGTTCGCTGTTGGTTTAAAATAGAAAATGATTAGAGGAAAAGATTTAGGTTCTCTGAGACAATTGAAATTCTTTGAATTTAAAATTAGGGATTTTGATTTTTGTTGCAAGTCCCTTTCTTTTCCCCCCTCTTCCCACGGGCTCCTGGCTTGGGTCAGTTCCCGCTGAAAGCAAATGTCATATTACAGGTCAGCCTGTGCTGAAATACTGCGCTTCCACCAAAATGTCAGTTGACTTTGTTCCTCAGCGCACAAATTAATGCAGCTGAGACTCTTTTTGTAACAGGAGTTAGTGAAGAAAGCGGCGTGTTGCGTTTCAGTGTGTTATAAAACTCCGTACATTGATGTTGGTGGCATCTTTTTTTTTTTTTAAAGATTTACTTATTTTTATTACAAAGTCAGATATACAGAGAAGGAGAGACACCGCACTGGGCTCTGTAGGTGGCATCTTGAGTAGTGATGGAGTAACTGGTTCACTGGCCAAATTATTTTCTGATTTATTCAGTTTGGTGTGTTTTGCTAGTTGTGTACATCTCTTTAGCCACCTCCAATACAAGTTATCAAATACAAATGTGTTACCCAGGAGTCTTCCTTTTGCGCCTTTGAAGCCAAGGCTGTCTCTATTTCTACTCAGCCTACCTCACTAGGCAATTACTGTTTTGAGTCTGTTGCTTTAGAACTTGTGACTATTCTAAAATTACACGTAAATGGAGTTGTATCATATCTATTTTTCCATGTCTGAACAAAGTAACATACTACTTTTGCTCACCTTATGGTATTTTGAGAATGTTATAAATAATGGTTTCTTTCTCAATAACCCTCATTGAGAGGCTGTACTACAATTTGTTTAACCACCCTTCAGTTTTTTGTGCTTCAGTGCAAACGTTGATACGGAGTGACTTCGGGCCACAAGTCTGGTTCCTGTACTTTCAAAGCCACAAGTCTGGTTCCTGGGCAGATCAATACTGCTTTAGAGTACTTCATTGCAGTATGTTTTGTGCCAATTGCAATATTAGTATCAAGCCAGTTGCATTGAAACATTTTTAAATGTTTGAGATATGTTTGTTGTATGTTTTGTGCATGTTCAGCATTAAAGTTTGTTGGTTTGTACAGAGACCAAACTCTGGTCTCTTAACATTTCATTAGAAAGGCGTTTATTTTTTTTTTCATAGAACTAACTGAAGAGCTTTGTTTTGTTTTTAAGTAGTTATTTGATAAAAATTTCTTTAAAACTAAGTTAAATTCTATATTTGAGATAGGAATTCAAATGCAATTTTTAAGCAAAGCTTTATTCATTAAAAAAAAAAGATTTATTTTTATTGGAAAGTCAGATATACAGAGAGGGGGAGAGACAGAGGAAGATCTTCTTTCTGCCGATTCACTCCCTTAGTGGTCATGACATAAGCCAAGATCCAGGAGTCTCTTCCATGTCTCCCATCTCGGTACAGGGTTCCAAGGTTTTGAGCCATTCTCTACTGCTTTCCCTGGCACAAGCAGGGAGCTGGATGGGAAGCAGGGGTGCCGGGATTAGATCCGGCGCCCATATGGGATCCTGACGTGTTCAAGGAGAGAATTTTAGCCACTAGGCTACTGTGCCCGGCCCAGCTTCATTCATTTTTATTGGAAAGGCAGATTCACAGAGAGGAGAGACAGAGAGAAAGATCTTCCATGCTCTGGTTCACTCTCAAATGGGCACATGGTTGGAGCTAAACTGATCTGGAGCCAGGAAGCAAGAACCACCTCCAGGACTGTCATGTGTGTGCAGGATCCTAGGGCTTTGGACCATCCTCCACTGCTTTCCAGGTCACAAGCTAGGGAGTTGGGAAGGAAGTGGAGCATCTAGGACATGAACTGGCAACTGTATGGGATGCCAGCATTTGCAGGTTGATGACTAGTCTGTGGAGCCATAGCACATTTTTATATAGAATTGACCGAGGCCCCAAACCCCATCCCTCTTCTGCACATAGTAGCAACCTGTAAATCAGTAGTGTGGTATCTCCACTAGGATATTGACGTTAACACAATCTAGATTCCAGACAGTTCTATCACTGTAAGAATCCCTCCTATTGCTAATTTATAGCCATACCTCTCTATTTTTGTTTTTCCACTGCCCCTTCCTTGATAACCACAAATTTGTTTTCTGTTTCTATAGTTTTATCATTCCAAGGATGCTGAAAATGGAATCAAACAATTTCTATTGTAGAATTAAATTTAAAAAAATTTATTTGAATCCAGAATGAGACAGACAGGTATCCACTGATTAATTCCCCAGTGTCTACAACTGGGTTGGGCTGAAGCCAGGAGCCTGAAACTTCATCTGTGCTGGGTGGCAAGGGCCAAAGAATTGCTTGCACCATCTTCCACTGCTGTCCAATTCTATAAGCCTATTGCTTTAGTGTTTATTTTCACCTGCTTGAAAGAGCAACGTAGAGAAATTTTTCCATCCATTGGTTCAGTTTTCAAATGCCTGTGGTGGCCAGGGTTGAGCCAGGTTCATACCAGGAGGCAGAAATTCCGCTGGGGACTTTGGCAGAGGCAGCAGAGGCCTAAGCACTTAGATACAATGGGGCTGTTTTTTTCCCATAAAAAATTAGTGATTTGTTGTATAATGCTTTTCACTTTCAGGTCTGTTGTTTTTTGTTGTTTGAGTGAAGAGAATAACATTAAAAAAATTAAATGTATCACTTTTGTGTGTAAGCAGTACTTGAATTAGAATATTTAATAGGTTGTTTTTATATAAGTTTTTTAAAACTTGAGCCAAAGGGGTGATTGCCATGGTGCAGTATGTTAAGCCACTGTTCTTGATACCAACATCACATTTGGGCACTAGTTTGAATCCAGGCTGCTCCACTTCTGGTGCAGCTCCATGCTAATGTGCCTAGCAAAGCAGAAGAGGATACCTGAAGTCCTTGGGTTGCTGCACCTGTGTGGGAGACCTAGAGAAAGCTCCAGGTTCTTGGCTTCCCATTGGCCCAGCTCTGGCTTCTGTGGCCTTTTGGGGAGTAAACTAGATGGAAGAGCTCTGTCTGTCTCTGTGATTGTGCCTTTCAAATAAAACAATTAAATCTTTGTTAAAAATGAAATAAAACTTGGGCTTCTTCAGTGTCTTAAAATGGTATTGCATTAAGAAAAGAATAGAAATTATGGACCACGTGTTTGATATGCTAATGACTGTTACGTTGTCTTTGCAGATTTTGAAAGACATAGCCAATCGGTACCATATGATGAGAGGTTCCAAAGTACATTTTGTGCCAGGCTGGGATTGTCATGGGTTGCCCATTGAAATTAAAGTATTATCAGAACTTGGTGGAAAAGCTCAGAATCTTTCAGCTATGGAAATTCGAGAGAAAGGTAAATAATTTACATTTATCCTTTAAAAAAATGTGATTTCTTAAAAAGATTTTTATGTTTTTAGTGGAAAGGCATATTTATTACAGAGAAGAAGACACAGAGAGAAAGATCCTGAATCTGCTGGTTCACTACCTAAGTGGCTGCAATGACCAGCGCTGAGCTGATCTGAAGCCAGAAGCCAGGAGCTTCTTCTGACTTTCCCACGTGGGTGCAGGGTCTCAGGGCTTTGGGTCAGCCTTGACTGCTCTTCCAGTCCACAGAAAGGGATTTGGATGGAAAGTGGAACAACCGTGACAGTAGTATAATCCCCTGACACAATACCCACACCAAGGACCCTCTTTTTTTTTTTTTAATGTTTTGTTTTATTGGATATGATTGTGAGGATTTCATTATTTCTTTGTGAAATGCATTATGATTATCTTAGATTCAATATACTGATTAGTTTTTGCATCTATGAGAATTAGCCTTTATCTTTTTCTTAAAGTAAGAAATAATTAGAAAGTTTTTCTGGTCTATTTTTTCTAAATGTAAGGTCATTATATCAGATCTGAAAATAAAGAAAGGAATAAAATTTTAACTTTCTAAATTTTAATTGATGTTAGAAGTTTTGTATCTGGTTTAGCCGAGACACTTCTATCTAGAGAGATAAAACAATACTTTAAATTTATTTGTTTAAGAAGTTTTTCTTCACCTTTCTATTTTAGCTAGGTCATTTGCTAAGGCAGCCATTGACAAACAGAAATCAGCATTTATTCGTTGGGGAATAATGGCGGACTGGAATAATTGCTACTACACCTATGATGCAAAATATGAAGCTAAACAGTTGAAAATTTTTTACCAAATGTATGATAAGGTAATGATTCTTTTTTTTCTTTTAATCATAAAGTATACTAAAGTATGTGTCACAAAATTTCACCTTTAATTGGATGTGTTTATCATTTTTAGGGCTTGGTTTATCGATCTTATAAACCTGTGTTTTGGTCTCCCTCATCAAGGTATGTGTCTCTTTGGGTGATTAAAGAGGGGAAATGTGTGGTATTTCCAGATACTTATTTGGGATGTTGTTAAACCTTTAGGACTGCTTTGGCTGAAGCAGAACTTGAATATAATCCTGAGCATGTTAGCCGTTCAGTCTATGTCAAGTTCCCGCTCCTGAAACCTCCCCCTAAGCTGGCCTCTCTTATAGGTAAGGTTTATTCATTGCTTGATTGTATTCTAGTTACAGACTTGCAACATTTGCTAACGTATTTATTACTTTATTTTTAGGGGATAGTTCCTCTCCTGTTAGTTTTTTAATTTGGACCACCCAACCTTGGACAATTCCAGCTAATGAGGCCATTTGTTATATGCCTGAGTCAAAGTAGGTGTCTTAATACATCTTCTGTTTCATGTCCTAGTTGGATTTATTCCATAAGTGATATTATTTCATTTTTGTTATCTTCTTAAATTTATTTTTATACCCCAGTTTTTTAGCTTTAGTTGATTCCTTTTAGTACCTTATTCCTAGCTTTTTTTGGAAGACAAAACAAATGTATGATATATTGTAAAAATAGTATTTTTTAAATTTCTGGCTAGTTGTTCTAAAGTGATATATGAAAATAAAATGTGACTCTTCTGTTTTTCTTTTTATTATAAATAATTTCCTCCTGAAATGTTACGGTAGGTATGCGCTTGTGAAGTGTTCTGATTCTGGAGACCTCTACATACTGGCTGCAGATAAAGTAGCATCTGTTGCTTCAACTTTGGAAACAACATTTGAAGTTATTTCAACGTTCTCAGGTAAAGATTTGTAGATGTTTGACCAGCACAGTCATCCAAGTATCAGGCCGATTTGAGCTCACTGCTTGGTTGAACATTGATCGTTGTGAACTGAAACAGATATGGCCTGCAGCTTTCTAGTGTATATTCTACATTGATTATACTAAAGAGAATTGTGCATTCGGCATGATTGGAATATAGGAAAGTGTGATTACTGACAAAAGCACTACAGATTGAAAACTACTTCTGGCAAAGTTCTGGGAGTAAGTGCGTAAAATTTTATGCAAAGTTAGTTATTAAAATTATTTTTAACTGCTTTAATAAGGCTAGGAAGAAAACATACTTCTGGTGTGTTATTTAAGAGAGAATTGAATACATTTTGATAATCATTCCAAAGGCATTGCTTCTGTCAAAGAAGTTGTTAGTAAACTGTAAATTGAGACTTCCAAAATATGAACTATAACTGGGCCCTGCATGGTAGCCTCATGGCTGATGTCTTTGCCTTGTACGTGCCAGGATCCCATATGGGTGCTGGTTCTAATCCTGGCAGCCCTGCTTTCCATCCAGCTCCCTGCTTGTGGCCTGGGAAAGCCGTCGAGGATGACTCAAGAACTTGGTCCTTGTATCCACATGGAAGACCTGGAAGAGGCTCCTAGCCTGGTTTTGGATAGGCGCAGCTCTGGCCTTTGCGGTCCCCTGGGGAGTAGGCTCAACGGACTTAGGATCTTCCTCTCTGTCTCTCCTCCTTTCTGTGTGTCTGGCTTTCATGTTCAGTTTTTCAAAAAAGGTTTCTTTATTTTTAAAGATTTATTTATTTTTATTGGAAAGTCAGATATACAGAGAGGAAGAGAGACAGAGAGAAAGATCATGCATCCGCTGATTCATTCCCCAGGTGGCTGCAACAGCTGGAACTGAGCCGAGCCAGGAGCTTCTTACAGGTCTCCCACGCAGCTGCAAGGTGCCAAGGCTTTGGGCCGTCCCCGCCTGCTTTCCCAGGCCACAAGCAGGGAGCTGGATGGGAAGTGGGGCCACCAAGACAAGAACTGGTACCTACCCATATGGGATCCTGGTGCATACAAGGCAAGGACTTTAGCCGCTAGATACTGCACCAGTCCCTTTTTTTGTGCAATTTTATGCATTGTACTTTTTAACCCAAATCAAAGTCAGCAACCACCTGTGAAATGAAATGTTGGTAAAAAGACTGATAGTATGAACAAATTATGTAGTTTTGATTGCTGTATGCTGGAAAAACAAATTTCTCTGAGGACATAGGTTTTCTTTCTTTTTTTTTTTTTGTATTAATTACATTGTATCATGTGACACAGTTTCATAGGCTCTGGGATTCCCTCAGCCCCTCTCCATACCCTTACCCATGGTGGAGTTTTTAAAAATCAACATTTTTTAATTTGTGAGAATGAGTAATTTGCGGGGAACATCTGAGGACTAAAGGGATCAATGAAGTTTTATTAATTATTGGAAGTAGATCAGGTGAACAGACTCACTCAGTAAATGGATAGAACCAGGTGATCCTTGTCATTCGTAGATCTCGGCAGGTGCTGGGGTGCAGTGGGGCAAGTTGCCATGTGGAATGGCTGTATCTGTTATTGGAGTGCCTGGGGTTGAGTCTGCCTCTTTCTGATTCAGGTTTCTGCTCATGGGCCTGAAGGCTGCAGGTGATGGCTCACATACTCGAGTCCCTGTCCCCAAGCAGGGAAACCTGGATAGAGTCCCTGGGTGCTGGCTTTGGCCTGGCCCAGCCCTGGCTGTTGTAAATGGAGGATCTCGCTCTGCCTCCCATTCTTTGTTGCTCTGCCTTTTTCAAATGAGGAAGAATAAATTTGAAAATAGCCTTTGTGTTATGTGAAAGGCTGGTTAATGGGATTTAACTCAGAAGGTAGTAAAGGTCAGAATTAGTGGAGGTGTAGAAAAATCAATAGCGAAGGGTCTGATAGGGTACTAAAAGGAGATAGAGACATGGACTATTAAAGTCGGAGTAAAACTTGCCTTGAAAATTGGGGCAATCATTATTGAACTATGACCTCAAGCATACTGTTTACATTTTCTGAAGTGATTTTCTTATTAATGAATTGTGGGTAGTGTTACCTGTCTTATAGTAGTATTATAAAGAATTTATGTTGAATCTAGTATATTCTGAGTGGCTAGGAATGTTAAGTGTTGTTTACCATCTTTTATCATTTTTAGGAATAGGAATATGAAAGTAGCAGTGGTTTCCCACAACAAGTTTATTAAAACCCATTGCTCATCCATCTGCTGATAGAGAAACTTTTATTCTTACATTCCAAAGTTTATATATAGAGGAATTTTACTGGAACTCACTTATATGTTTTTATTTATACATAAAATTGCTAATATTTTAAAGTCTTTACTATCTGATAGGAATGATTAGTGGCCCAGACAGTTGAAGTGCGTTAACTCTGTTTTTCCTCATAGCTGCCCTCTCAGTTACGAACCCCATTTATCAATTTCATCTAGATTCCTGAAGGTCATAGAGTAAGCGAAGTCAGGACTTGAGACCAGATGATCCTGTTCTAGATTCTGTTCTTCTGCCATGCTAAACTCAAAAGGAAGAGAATGGCCACATAAAAGGATTAACTGTTTTCCCTTTCCCCTAGGTGGAGATTTAGAAAGTGGCTCCTGTCGTCATCCTTTGAAGCCTGATAAAGTCTCTCCCCTTTTGCCTGCCAATCATGTCACCATGGCAAAAGGAACAGGATTGGTCCACACAGCCCCAGCACATGGCTTGGAGGATTATGGTGTAGCGTCTCAGCACAATCTGCCAGTGGTACTGATCCCCTTTTGTCCCTTTTAATTATTCATCTTGTAGACTGAGAGTGAAAAATTTTAAAATCTCTTTGTGGTAATCATTTTGTCCTTGTCATTGTTGAATGGTTAGGTTTCTATAATATGCTAAAGTGTCTTTATTTCATTCTATTTTAGAAATATCTAGAATTTTAAAATCAGAGTTAAAGTTCAAGAATACATATTACATGGGGCACATTTTTAAAAGTACTTTGTTTCAAGTATTAAGTAATATAGACTAGCTAATTCTGGTCCTTAAAATGTTAAGTATAGTTTATGTAAGTGGTTGAAAAGGATAGCTTTTTTCCCCTTCTACTCCTTTTAAAAAATATTATTTATTTGAAAGGCAAGGTTGCAGAAAGAGAGGGAGAGGCAGAGTTCTTCTATGTGCCAGTTCATTTTCTAGGTAATTACAGTGACTGGATCATGGAACTGAAGCCAGGATCCTAGCACTGTTTCCCATTTCCCATGTGGGTCCCAGAGGCTCCAGTCCCTGGGCCATCTTCTCTTCTCCCAGGCATTTTTAGCAGGGAGCTGGATTGGAGGTGAAACGGCAGGACTTCAAACTAGCATTGACCAGGAGGACACTGGCATTGCAAGCTGAACCTTGCTGTGCTGCACCAGGTTGCATGCTGCCCCCAGCAGTTTGGTTTTTTTCACTGATAATCCTCTTTAATTTGTACACTTTAGCTATTTAGTTAAAAATACGAGTTCTAGAATTTGTAAGTGTGTACGTTGTCGTAATATGTGAATAGTAGAGATCAGTTTAAGATGGTTTGATATATTTAATATATTTTGTTGTGAAACTTAAAGTATTCTGCCTTTCCAATTAAAAATCGCTTCTCGGCCTTTTGGCTAAGATCAAGTGTAGTATCTGTTCTTATCAGTTTAATATCTGATACGTCCTCTATCCAATTAAAAAAAAACACATGTTTTTTTTTTTTGCTTTGATGTAATTTTGGTTATTTTATTTGCTTGAAAGGTGGAGGGTCAGAGAGACAGTTTTTCCATTTTTGGTTTCGCTCCCGGGGCAGTGTCAGGCCAAAATCAGGAGCCTGGAATTCAGTCTTGGTCTTCTATATGAGTGATAGGGACTCAAATTCTCGAACGGTGTGACCTGCTGCCTCCAAGGGTGCGTATTGGCAGGAAGCTAGAGTACGTTAGAGCCGAGACTGAGATCAGAGATTTCCGCATGGGGTTTGGGAGTCCCAAGCAGTGTCTTAACCATTGAGCCAAACACCTATCCTGTGCAGAAACTCACAAGGAAACAGTTGAAAATATCCTGACTGTAGGATGCTGGACTCTCTGACATTGTCCATGCCCACAGTGTTAGGAAACACCTCAATAACAGCATGATGGACTTAGGACTATTCTTGAAGGACTATCCATTGTAATCCTAGAGGGGAAATCAATGGGGAAGGCGGGGGGAGAAAGCAAGTAAAAGTGCATAAGACACACAAATTCCTATTGGCTGAGGCAGAAGCACCCATAATTTCAGTATAGAAGAATAATAGACTATACCAAGATTTTTTTTTAAATCAGTTACTTTATCAGATATTGTCATAAGGTAGAATATCTTGATATTCTAATTGTTCACCATGACACTTTGTAGGATTGTTTAGTGAATGAAGATGGAATTTTCACAGATGATGCAGGTCCTGACCTTCGAGACAAATCTGTCCTTGAAGAAGGAACCGATGTGGGTAAGTATTGTTTTCTGTTTATATTATAAATGTTTTCTGAAAAGCAACCTATAGTAGCCTTTGTTTGCTCTTCTCCTTTCTTTTACTGTTACCAGAAACAAAATGCTAGAATTGCATTTTTGCCATGATTTGAAATGGAGTTTGAGACTATCTGTTGCTTTGAAGTAGCTCAATTTTTTTTAAACAAATCAGAACTGTCAACAGGGAGAAGTATTATTTTAGAGTTATCAAGAAAATAATAGGTGTTAGCACTTTTGTGGAAAGAGAGCTCCAGTTTGGAGTTAGATGTTAATTGTATCAGAACATTTTCTACTTTTAGTTCAAATAGTTGACCAGTTTTGGGAGTGCCTCAATCTTTTTAAAATTATCTTTTTAAAGATCATTTATTTTTATTGAAAGACAGATCTTTACAGAGAGAAGGAGAGACTAAGAGAAAAGTTCTTCCATTCACTGGTTTACTCCCCAAATGGCTATAATGGCCGAAGCTGGGCCAATCTGAAACTAGGAGCCAGGACCTTGTTTGGAGTTACCCATGTCAACGCAGCATCCCACCACTTTGGGTTATCCTCCATGGCTTTCATGGGCCACAAAGCAGAGTTTTGGGTAGGTAGTGGAACTGGCACCCAGATGGGATTCCAGTGCGTACAAGTTGAACATTCAGCCATTGAACCATTGTGCTGGACCCTTCTCCTCCTCCTCCTTTCTTTTCCCCCCCAGGATTTATTTGAAAGTCAGTTGCATAGAAAAAAAAAAAAACTACAGATAGTAATTCTTTCTGATTCACCATCTGCTGATTCAGGAACGTCACCACAGTGACTGGGTATGGGCCAGGTGGAAGCGAGGAATCTGAAACTTCTTCCACATCTCCCGTGTGGGTGCAGGAGCCCAAGGACTTGGTCTGTCTTCTGCTTCCTTTCCAGGCGCATTAATTGGAAGCCAGATCGGAAGTGCATCAGCTAGATTGTGAGCTGGTGCCCATATGGGATACCAGCAATGTAGCCAGCAGTTTTACGTGCCATGCCACCATGTTCACCCCACTTCCTCAGTCTTACATTATGTTTCTGCCTTATTTTGTAGGTTTGGAAACTGTGCTATGAGGCCTTTGTTTGCCCAGCTAAGACTAAAGCAAATTGGACCTGATGTGTTCGTTTTCTAGGGCAACTATAACAAATTGCCATAACTTTGGTGACTTAAAATAAGATACATTTATTCTATCAAATTCTGAAGTCTAAAAGTGAGAATAAGGGGGTTGGCAAGGTCCTGTTGCCTCCATAAATTCTGTGGAGCAGTCTTTATTTGCCTCTTCTTAGCTACTAGTAGTGCGTGGAGATCCTTGTGTTTGTTGATTTACAACTGGGCTGCTGCCCGTGTGGTCAAGTGGTCATGTGGCTGCCTTTAGCTCCTCTGTGTTTGACTGTGCATCTTTTCTTGCTTTAAGGATCCACATGACTGGATATAAGGTGCAGTCTACATCATTGTGACCTCATCTTAATTATATGTGCCAAGGCCAGATTTCCCAGTAAGGTCACATTCACAGTTACAACCATTTAGGATCTTTTTTGGAGACACAATTCAGCTCACTACGCTGGAGTTCTGGATACCTAGAGACTAGGTTAAGATTCATAGTGTAAAAGATTATGACTTTGGATTTGAAATGTTGAGTTCTGGATAGATTTTTTTTTATTTTTCCTGTGATATAAAGAGCTGTGAGAGAATAACATGCTTTAGAATTAACTCAGGCTGTACCAGAGTGGCTACTCTTCTTGATGCCTTTTAGTGTAGATTTAGTACTCCTAAGAGTTTAGCATGTGTTATGGTTTTCATAGTACTTTAAAAATATGTATAATGTTGACGCTTTAGATTTTAAAAAGATGTATTTATTTGAAAAGCAGAGTGACAGGGAGAGGAAAGACAGATCATCCATTTGGTTGTTCACTCTACAAATGTTCACAAGAGACTTGGCTAGTGTAGAGCAAACTAAAAGCTGCATCCAGGCCTTCTGTGTGGGTTACAGGAACTCAGGTGTTTGGACTGCTGTGTCTTGTCTCTCAGGCGTCGTAGCAGGGACTAGGTCAGAAGCACAGGGGAGCTGAGACTTGAACCAGTATGGGATGGAAGCATACCAAATGGCAGCTTTACCTGCTCACACTTCCAGTGTTTAATATAAATTGTCTCTCTCTATATTTTTTAAGTTATAAAGATGCTTCAGACCACGAAGAATTTGTTAAAAGAGGAAAAATTGGTACACAGCTATCCTTATGACTGGAGAACTAAGAAACCAGTGGTTATTCGTGCCAGCAAGCAGTGGTTTATAAATATCTCGGACATTAGGACTACAGCCAAGGTAGGAAAGGTGGAATTTATCATTCTCTAAAGTTTTACAAGGTTGCATACAAAGTTAGCTTGGAATTTTGGGAGTGTAAAAGATCACTTTTGTTGTGATTTGTTGTAGTGAAATTAGAGGAAATTAGATCTGGAATGACCTTGAAATTCCGTTCAGAGTAGGTGGGCCTTCTTGAATGCTGGGGTACAAGAAGCATAGAACTAGGATAGGACTGGGGCAGGCAAGTTGTTTAACATCCCAGAACTTCGGTTTTCTCATCTCTGCAAAGATGACAATACCTCACTCATGGGGTAAGTAAATAGGCGTTTCCAGTAAAAGATGTTACAGGAAGAGTGTAAACCTTTTCATCTATAGTGGATTTGCAGTGCATTTGAAACACTTTTACTCTAACTTAGAAAATACTAATGGATATACTGTGTTTTTAAGATAACATGTGAGCTGGCTCTTTCAGTGCGTGTGGGGGGGTATGTAAGTGTGTGTGTGTGTGTGTGTATATATATAGATATAATATGCACACACACACACACACATATATACCTTCCGAGGGAACTTAGATAACTTGATTCTCTTGAATGGAAGAGCTCAAAAATGTGTTTGGTAACTGGGCTGAGTGTACAGATACTTTGCTCTGTTTCTAAAATATAAGATATTGCTGTACTCAGTGGTTTGCTTGTTAGCTTGCCAGTTCAGCATCCTTGCCAAAACTGTGCAACAGTTTACATTTTTTAAACTTCTATAATTTGCACAAGTGTGATATAAGTTTTTTTTTTCACTGCCATGAAGGCTTTCTTATTTGTGTATGTTAAAATTTCTAACTTTCAACTCTTCACAGTTTTTTGGTTGCAGAGTATTTTAAGTGTGATAAAAAATGTTTGAGCCAAATTTTTTTCTACTCTTCTTCATAGACAGTTTCAATTGCTGTTTATAAAAATGGCAAGACAGGGTTATGTTGTATTGTTTCTGCCTGACTTCAACAGTAATCAGGTTAGCATATCCCTTATGATGGCCACCATTAACTGTCCACTCAATGGATTATTTTGAAGCAAACTCAAGGCAGTATTTCTTCCATATTATGTTTATTCCCCATAATATTTTAGCATGCATATTATTGTCACTTTGAAAAAAATAGCGATAATTCCTTTGCAAAGTCAGATATTCAGTTTTCACATTGAATTTTTAAATTAATTGAGTTGCGTAGATGTGCTATTCTGCCAGTAGATGGTGCTACAGTGGGCTTTGGGGAGGGAATTTAGAAGCCTTATAAGGCTCTAAAAAATGTTCATTTAAGTAAATACAAAATATATTAGCAAATGAAGAGATTTTTAACTATGTGGCTAGTGAATTTTGGCTTTTGGGGAGATCATTAAACATTTTTGCTCTATATTTCATGCTTCGTTAATTGACAACTGAAATGAAATCAGATGCTAACAGTTTATGACTTCCGAGGGGATAAGAGGGTGGGAGAGATCCTGAGAGGTGTAAGTCAGTTGGAAAGTTTAGAAAGTGTCTTCCTATGAAGTTTTCTTTGTAAAATTAAATTACATCGCCGTTCTTGTTTCTCACCCTGGAATAGTTGCTTATTTTTTAAGCATTTAAACCAGTGGTTGAAATCAAGTTTCATTGACAGTAACTCTGTTTCAGTGAAGTATAATGCAAGATCAAAAATGTTGTTACATGTTTTGACCTCAGGTCGGTCTAAGTTGGAAATTGTAAAATCTCTTGCTAAATTCTCTAAAGGGTAATTTTGCTCTGAATATCGTGTACTGAGCCTTTTACTTTGCTTCGTTTACTCTGAAATCTTAAGTGCTTTTTGGTGGATGAGGAACTGTGTATAACTACAAAAAAACTAAATAAGAAATTGCATTAGGAAAGGTAATGATAGTTCTGGAAAGAATGTGCTGTTGTCTTCCCGCTAGATCTGAGTTCTGATTAACTTGCAGGAATTGCTGAAAACGGTGAAGTTTATTCCTGGATCAGCACTGAATGCCATGGTTGAAATGATGGACAGGCGGCCATATTGGTGTATATCAAGACAAAGAGTGTGGGGTGTTCCGATTCCTGTGTTCCATCATAAGACGAAGGATGAATACCTGATCAACAGGTAAAATTCAAACTAAAAATTGTCAGTGTTTGAAAATGAGTTGTTTTTCTCAAAAATGGAAAAATAGGCTATTGAGATCCCTCTTACCTGGTATAAGTTACATATAATAAAACAATCATCTTTTCTGGGGGTAGTTAAATGTGAACTTTTAAAAAATTCTCTTATCGGGCCCGGCGGTGTGGCCTAGCGGCTAAAGTCCTCACCTTGAACGTGCCAGGATCCCATATGGGTGCTGGTTCTAATCCCGGCAGCTCCACTTCCCATCCAGCTCCCTGCTTGTGGCCTGGGAGAGCAGTCGAGGATGGCTCAAACCCTTGGGACCCTGCACCCGTGTGGGAGACCTGGAGAAGTACCTGGATCCTGGCTTCGGATTGGCACAGCACTGCTCTCACTTGATGAGTGAATCATCGGATGGAAGATCTTCCTCTCTGTCTCTCCTCCTCTCTGTATATCTGACTTTGTAATGAAAAAAAAATTATCTTATGCAGTTGAAATGTTAATGCAAATTAGGTATTTCTGCATGAACTTTTAAAAAAGAGTTTAGTTTTATATTTGAAAAGCAGAGTAACAGAGGCATGTGGGATAGATCACTCTCTCCCATGTGTTGGTTCACTGTGCAAATGGCAGTGGCAGGCTTGGACCAGGCTCTAGCTGGAAGCCCCGGATTCCACCCGCGTCCACCGCCTGGGTGGCAGGGACCTGGGCACTTGGGCCATCATCGGTGCTTCCCAGGCGTGTTACAAGGAGCTTTGCAAACTAGATTCAACGCTACTCTGATGCGGAGCCAGTGTCCCAGGTGCTGGCTTAACTTGTACCATGATGTCTGCCATAAGTCCTACCCCTTGAACCTCCAAAATGATTTGTTTTCAAGGGACAGAGAATTGAGATTTTTTTTTAGGAAAGATTTATTTTTATTGGAAAGTGAGATATACAGAGAGGAGAGACAGACAGAAGGGTCTTCCATACGCTGTTTCACTTTCCAAGTAGCCATAATGACCAGAGCTCAGCTTATCCGGTCAGGAGCCTGGAGCCAGGAGCTTGTTCTGGGTCTCCCCTGTGGGTACATAGTCCCAAGGCTTTGGGCTTTACTGCTTTCTTTTCCAGGCCGCAAGCAGGGAGCTAGATGGAAAATGGATCGGCTGGGGTACGAACTGGTGCCCGTTGGGATCCCGGTGTGTGCAAGGCAGGGACTTTAGCTGTGAGGCTACCACACTGGGTGGAGAGAATTGAGATTTATTGATTGATTGCATGGATAAATGAATCTGCTTTCTGGTTTACTCTCTAATTGCCTATGTTAGCAGGGGCTGAGTCGCTGAAAGCAGGATCTCCGTCTGGGTCTGTCACGTTAGTGGCAGGGAGCTCAACACCTAGCCAGTATCTGCTGCGTCCTCTGTGTCTCTGCAGGGAGTGTGATGGCTAACAGAGTAGCCAGCACCTGGACTGGCGCTCTTTTAAGGGTTATGGATATCCTGAGAAGTGGCTTACCTGCTCTAGTTGTTTTTCTTTTAAAATATTTATTGAAAAACAGAAATATCCATTCCACCTACTGTTTTACTTCGTAAAGGCCTGCAGCATGAGGGGCTAGGGCAGCCGGGAGCCAGAAATTCTGAATCATCCACGTGAGTGGCAGGGATTCAAATACTTTGTCGGCATCTGCTGCCTCGTAGGTTTTTTGACAGTACACTGGATTGGAATCCAAGGCAGGACTGTATCTTGGGCATTCTGGTGTGAAACACAGGCATTCCAAGAGGCAGCTTTACTCCATGTGCAACAATACCTGTCTATAAGAATTTTTTTAAAACACATGTTGACTAAAGTATTTTCAAAATCTATTTTAGAAAGTATTTACATATTTGTTTGATAGGCAGAGTGGAAGGGGTGGGGAAGGAGATCTAACTTCTGCTGCTTCACTACGCGAGTGGCCACAACGCTAGGGCCTAGATTAAACAGAAGCCAGGAGCTAGGACTTCCATGTGGGTGTGCCACATGGGCGCCAGTGGTCTAATACTTGGGCAGTTTGCTGCTTTCTCACGCACATTATCAGGTAGCCGGGTTGGTCGGGTTAGAGCTAGGAGTTGAACTGCTTTCAGATTTGGGATACTGGTGTTGTAAATAGCAGCTTAACCTATTGTGGCACATGTCAGACCCTAGCGTGTTGTATTTTTTTTCTTAATCCTTTATAGTCATATGTAGACTAGTTCTTCTTTTTTTTTTTAATGACCCTCCCCACCTTGTTTATTTGATTTGAAAGGCAGAGGTTCAAAGAGGACAGCCGGGGGCAGTCTTGCATCAGCTTGTCAGCAGCACTGGAAGTGGAGCCAGCCTCTGGGATTGGAACCCTGTGCTCATGTGGGCTGATGGTGCTGCATGTGATGACTTAGGCTACTACTCCAGGGCATCGGTGATCCTGTAGTAGTAGTTCTTAGTAACCTTGAAAGCTTTCTTTCAAGCTTTTTATTAGAAAGATAGCTGGCATCGCTATATTCTGAGGGGTGGCACCTTAGAACAACAATACATTGTATTGCTACATGATGAACAATTGATACTTACGACTGAGGGGTGGACCAGAGGCTCTGCCTCAAGCAGACATGTTACTGGAGGTGAGCCTCGAGGACTAGGTAGGGAAGGAGGAAAGCTTTACCAAGTAGGATTAGCAGGAACTGAGGACCAGGACGGACAGGAGCATGGAGGATGGATCAGAACCATCTGGGGGAGACTGGAGGTGGGGTGCGTGGAGGACCTTGACGTTTGGATGGTAATTAAGACTGATGGAGGCAGATTGTAGGGAATCTTAAAAAGTAGAGTAAGAACAGGTGAGAAGTAAGAATATGTCTTAGGGAAAGAAACTGTAGGTAGAACCTAGGAGATTGTCCTAAGATATTTTTCAGTATTATTTTAATTTGGGGCTAAGATTCTTTGTTCTAAATATCATTCCTGTGTTGTTCTTAAAATTTAGACCTTGGCTAGATGAATTATTCATGTCTTATTACCTCTGGCATGGATTAAAATGATTGTAGTTGAGATAAATTTATACAAGTAACACTTAAAGTTTTATGCTGGAGAGTGTTTTCTTAAGTGCGAGTGTCCTTGTTTCTACTTCTTGTAGGTGTTTAGAGACTAAAAATTTGAGAGAATTCCCTTGAAATGATTAAGGTAGACTATATTGCATATTACCAAGTAGAGCAAATGATGTAATTGACCATTTCACAATGACAATAAAATAATATGTAGTTTTATTGGTTAGTAGTATAGGAAAAACGAACGTCAGCTTTCTCATAAAAAAAACACAAATAAGTTTTCATTAAGTATCATTTTTATTGGGTCAGTACATTTCTGAGCTGTGGAATGGATTTTTTTGTGTGTGTATCTGTCATTGTGTTGCTACCAATATATTTTCTCATTTTGAAGGGAAAGCAGTATACAGAACATTGGCCTACAGAAATGACAGACAAACTTAGCCATATCGTCTGTCAATTCATAGGTCATTTTCCTGTATACCAGTGTTTTGTGTCTGTCTATGAATATTTTTTTTTTGAGAAACAATATGAGAGCCTCATAGAACACAGTGCTTCCTCCCTCGTCTGCTAGTTCACTTCCCAATGCCTCTAAATCACCTGGGCTGCCGTGGATTGAAGCTGAGATCCAGGAACTTGGTGCAGTCTTGCCATGTGGGTTCCAGGAGCCCACAGGCTTCAGCCGTCACCCGCGTCCTCAGACGGTGTGCCCTAGCAGGAGCCACGATCAGAAGCAGAGTCCGGAACGGGGCTCCCTGACACGGGATGCAGGCATTCCAGACGACCTAAGCTCCGTGCCAGAAACCCACCCCTCTGTCAGTTAGTGGTGACTTCAGCCTTCTTCCACAGTGAGGTCCTTTAGGTGAATTCAAGAAAATTGATAATCTGTCAGTTTTGTAGAACAGGGTTAGTGATTATATTTTCTTCTTGTGTATCAAACAGGAGTGAAATGACCAGTTTGCTTTCTTTTTTCACATTTCCATGTAGCAAGTTGGTAACCATCAAAAGTAACAGCTTCTCCACTGGAAATTGGTACATAATCCACATGGAGTTGCTGTTACAGTTGATAACTCCATTAACACCTCAGAAATATTTCTTCTGGTTTTTATTATGGTCTGTATGAGACCTTTAAGTATACTTCTTTCACAGAAAAAAAAGTCTTGATTTATTCATGTTCTTTTTTTTTTTTAAGATATATTTTTACTGGAAAGTCAGATATACACAGAGGAAAGACTGAGAGAAAGATCTTTGGTCTGCTGATTCACTCCTCAAGTGGCTGCAACGGCTGGAGCTGCCCTGCTCCGGAGCCAGGAGCCTGGAGCTTCTTCCTTGTCTCCCATATGGGTGCAAGGTCCCAAGGCTTTGGTCCATCCTCAGCTGCTTTCCCGTGCCACAAGGAGGGTGTTGGATGGGAAATGGGGTTGCCGGGATATGAATCGGTGCCCATATGGGATCCTGGTGCATGCAAAGCAAGGACTTTAGCCGCTAGGCTACTGCGCTAGCCTGGTTTTTTTCATGTCCTGAAAGACTTTAGGAACTGCTAGATTTGAAACTCTGATGTTTAATTTGCCCTGATAGTCTCATTGTATTTCATATTCATATTTGTGTTTTTTCAAGAAAGAATTACATTTCTGACTTAAACACTATTGATCATTTATTGAATCTAATGTAGTACATTATAATTTAGTGAATATTCCTAGTTAATACAAACAAGTGATTTTTAGTATAAGAAGCATGGAATTTTAAAACATTGGTTCCCTAGGAAGGAAAAAAAGCAGCTGGTTACATTTCTTTTAACAAGTCAATTTTTCAGTCTTAATGTACCAGTTAGTTTATGCATACTGAAAATTTGGCCCCAGGCTTTAAGAAGATTACAAGAGATTTAGTACAAACAATGTGGAAATTTCCAGTTTAGTTGGAGTGTTAAGTTTAGCTACTTCATATTTTTGAAATGTTGATTAAAGGTCTCTGAGTTATATAGTTAAA